AAAACGTCTGTATATATTATAAACAATTGATGCAAAAGACGTGTAAAATTGAGAACGCCTATAAAAACAGAAAATTTAAATTCCCTCTTGTAAAATTAATTATTTTTTAAACATATATTCTAATAAAATTGCACTGAATTAAGTTGCAGTTTAATTTTAAATTAATTAAAAATTAATTAACTTTTAATTAAAATGATTAAAATTAATTAAAAGTCATAATATAATTTATAAATTTTATTTAACATTCCAAAACATAAAAATAATTACTTATAAATTATTGTAAAAAACTATTTTCTGCGTTAATAAAAAATACAGTTAATGTTATTTATTTTATAGAAACTGAATTTTTTTTATTTTAATGTTTTGTTAAAAAAATGTTATAATTTTTGCATAACTTATATAATTTTGAACCTGAAATAATTTTATGTTAACTTAAAATTTTATTAACATTTATGAAAATAAAATTAAATTCTTTCGAGAAATTTTATTTGAATGGAATTCAAATGAATTAAATTCCTATAAATTACATTAATAAAAATTTTTAAAATAATTGAATACTTTATTAAAATTTTATTACAATTTTTGAAAATAATTGAATTTCTACGAAAAATTGTAATATGTATAATTATAACAATAATTAATTTCTTATGAAGAAATTGCATTAAAATTATTTAAAATATTTCAATTTCTATGAAGAATTCAATTATTTCAAAAAAAAACTTTTAATAAAATTCTTATTAAGAATTCAATTATTAAAAACAGAATTCTTCGTAGAAATTTAATTATTTTCAGAAAACGGTAATAAACTCCTGAGTAAAAATTCAAATATCAAATAAATATATCTAATATTAAAATTTTTCAAGAAAATTCAATTTTTTCTAAAATTTTAAATAAATTATTAGCACAGAAATTTAATTATTTTCAAAAAATGTTAATTACATTCTTAATAAGAATTCAATTATCTTTATAAATATTTAAACTTTTCTCAAAAATTTACAAAAAAATTCTTTGCAGAAATTTAATTATTTTCGAAAAATTTTAATTAAATTTTTAGCAAGAATTCAATTATCCTGATAAATATTAAAATTTTTCTTAAAAATCCAATTTTTTCGAAAAATTTTTATTTAATTCTTATCAAGAATTATATTGCTGTCTTTATAAATAATAAAATTCTTCTCAGAAATTCAATATTTTCAAAAATTGTAATGAAAATCTTTGCAAAAATTCAATTATTTTCACAAGTAACGAAATTCTTCACAAGAATAAAATTACTTTCAATACAATTTTAATAGAATTTCTCGACGAGATTCAATTATTTTTAAAAATTGTAATTAAAGTCTTTGAATGAATTCAATTATTTTCAAAAATTTTAATAAAATTCTTTATAAAAATTAAATTATTTACAGTATAATTTTAATTAAATTTCTTCAAAGAATTCAAGAATTATATCAACATTTTTGAGAATAATTGAATCTTGACTAAGAAATTTTATTAAAATTGTACTGAAAATAATTGAATTCCAGTTAAGAATTTTGTTATTTATGAAATTAATTGATTCTTGCTAAGAATTTTATTAAAAATTTTGATAATTGAATTTCTGCGAAAAATTTATTAAAATTATTAATATTTATTATTATTATTATTATTATTATTATTATTATTATTTATTAATTATTATTTATTAAAATTTTTTTAAATAATTGAATTCTTGCCATGAATTCTGTAATTTATGAAAATAATTGAATTCTTGCTAAGAATATCATTGAAAATTTTTAAAATAATTCAATTCTTGCCTTGAATTCTGTTATTTTTGATAATAATTGAATTGTTTTAAAAACTTTAATTACAATTTTTTAAAATAATTGAATCATGACAAGAAATTTTATTAAAAATTGTATTCAAAATAATTGAATTCCTGTGAAGAATTTTGTTATTTATTAATATAATTGAATTCTTGCTAAGAATTTTATTAATAATTTTGCAAATAATTGAATTGCTTCGAAGAATTATATTATTTATAAAGATAATTGAATTCTTGCTAAGATTTTTTGCCACAATTTTTGGAAATAAATGAATTCTTGATAGGAATTTTTTACTAAAATGTTTAGAAAGAAATGAATTCTTGATAAGAATTTTATTAAAATATTTAATAATATCTAATAATTAAATTTCTGCAAAGAATTTTTGAATTTTGAATTTGTTAAAAAATTTTCAAAATAATTGTATTCTTGCGATGAATTCTGTTATTTTTTAAAATAAATTAATTCTTGCGATGAACTGTGTTATTTTTTAAAAGAAATTAATTCTTGTGATGAATTATGTTATTTTTTAAACGAAATTAATTCTTGCTAAGAATTTTATTAAAACATTTGAGAATTGAATTTCTGCGAAGAATTTTATTAAAATTTTTAAAAATAATTAAATTCTTGCAATGAATTATGTTATTTTTTGAAAATAATTGTATTCTTGCGATGAATTCTGTTATTTTTAAAATAAATGAGTTCTTACGATGAATTCTGTTATTTTTGAAAATATATAAATTCTTTCCATGAATTCTGCTTTTTATGAAAATAATTGAATTCTTGCGATGAATTCTGTTATTTTTGATAATAGTTGTAATCTTTCAAAAACTTTAATTGCAATTTTTAAAAATAATTGCATGTCAAGAAATTTTATTAAAAATTGTATTGAAAATACAATATAATATTATTATCTTTAAAGATAAAAGTAATAATAATTAATTACTTATTTTTATTTATAATTATAATAATTATGAAAATTATAATCTTTTTGTAATTTTCTTGTCAACTATTTTTAGACAATAATTCACTTTTTCATCAATTTTAACGGAAAAAAATACAGTGATTCCCAAAATTGTTAATTTTCGTTTAAAAATTAGAAAAGCGAAGAGAGGATTAACAAAAACAACTAAATGCATAACATACGTATTCATTATTTATGAATTTACATCGTAATATAATATTATTTTTCTAAACACAACGCTAACATATACTTCTGTATCTTTTCCATTACAATCGTAAACGATATCAGCGTTCAATTTAATTACAAAAACTGCACAGTATAACATGTTTCAAAAAATATGATATCTCTGTTTATCCTGTAGTTGAAATACGTTTTCTTAATTTCTTTTTAAAATTTTCTTTCTTTTTTTTCAATAAATGTTTTCAACAACGGGAAATGCACGTATCACATTTGCATTGCTCTGTTAATTGGACTAAGCGTAGATTAGCAACGATTCATACCATACTCTTAAATCAGATAAATGCTTCTTTCTTGAGGAACGAATTAAATGTACAATTGAATAATTCCAGATGTAATAAAAAAAATGAGGAAAAATATTCTCCTCATTATTACACCAGGTTATTCAATTTTTCAAAACTTTAATTATTAATTAATTCAAAATTAAAAATAAATCTCTATAAAATAAACGCACTTTTGTAAATTAGTAATTAGTGAATGTAAAGTTGACTTTTTTTTTAATGTCTTCTCGCTCATCAAAGATAAAAACACCTATATAAAATACATTCAAATCTGACGATTTCAATCGTTTAACATCCGACACATTCTTAATTCTAGATCAAAAAAAAAATAATAATTCTCGTAATTAGGAAACAAACGTCCTAGAAATGAAGTATCAACAATATTATGTCAGCGCTTGAACTTTGGAAGGAATCTTGCACATTTCTTTCGGTATCACTACGTATTGGTTAAAGGCGCATATTTCTTGATTTACAGTTACTTAACAACTAGTCAGTTTAATTGTTTATCGTCAAAACAGTTAATGAACTGTTTACATAATTTTAAAACGATCAACACCTTAACAAAGGTTTCACGTTTTGCTCATTTTTAAAAGAAAGAGAATTTAAAAGAAACTTTTTAAATACTTTTTTCTACTTTATCGAATCAAACAGAACTAAAGTATTTTTTTCCATAATTTTTCTTTTTCAAAAAGTATTATTTCTACTTTCAACAAATTTCTTTTGTTTTCGAGAGGCAATAATTCAGTTGTTTTTGTTTTAAAACATTTAAAAAGCTATCGCTTATAATTTAAAAACATGTTAACAAATATTTTAAATTTAAAAAGAAATTTTCGAAAATTAATTTCTTTTGTAACAATTTCTATCAAGAGTACTTTAATAAATTGTAAATAAATTATTGAAAATAATTTCACTTTTGTGTGAATTTGTACACAATATCAAATATAAATTTCTATATAATTCACACAAATTGAAAATTATATTAATGAACCAGCATTTAAATTTCTTTTAAATTTGAACATTTTTTTGTTTTGAAAATGAAAAATCAGACGATTTTTCAATAGACTAAGGGCAAGCATTCGCAATATCGTTTTAAGAGAATCACTTCATCGAAACTAACATTTCTACATTCCAATTTCGAAAGCTCGTGAAGACGCCAGAGATAAAATATCCGATTGCGTTATACAAAATTTTTTTTTCTCAATATAGGATGTTAAAAAAACTCCAAGTCACAAGCTTATTTTAATAGATAAGGCACTTTCTTTTAAACCTGTTTTGTTTTTTGTTAAAATTTCGATGGCTAATGTTAACAAACACACTTAGAAATCTATAATTTATCAGACTTAGTTTAAATAAGGTAAATTTTCTTTCTTTCAGGCACTGAATTTTATTTTATTGAATACTCGTGAGCGAAGAAATTATGAATAAAAATTTCGTTAATTTTTTCTTATCTTTTCAAAAGAAGTTTGCCTGCTCTTCATAGAAAAGACAATATCAGGCTACAAAAAAAAAAAAAAAAAAAAAAACGAAAAAAATTCAAGTTGGAATGATAAAAAAAATATATATAAATTTTCTTCCATTAGAAACAGAGAATATACCCATACGATAGGTAAAACTTCTGCTTTTCAAAATAAAAACATCAACTTCGTACTTTTCTCAATCAAGTATAAAATACAATTATTATTGAGTTTGGTCCCAACTCAGTGGAATAATGTCATTCTCTATATGCTTGATTAAATGCACAAAAAAATATTTATAAAAAAAAATATATATATATTCTTGTTTTATAAACTCCAGTAATTCTCAAAAAAACTTTGAGAAATCTCTCTCTATATATATATGGATAAATGTCCCAGCAGATTGAAAAAAATACTTTGCATAAAATATATTCCATCAAGTTTGGAAGAACGATCAGAAAAAAAATAGATTTCAAAATCTCAACGTTCAAATAAAGAAAATTCTTTTCTTTAAACAAGAAATAAAAAAATGTCAAATAAATAAATTCAAAGACAAATTTTTATATTTTAAAGAAATTTTACATTCTTTTTTTTCTCTAAAATTTCTAATGAATAAAATGAATAAAATTTATTTGAACGTTAAGAATAATAAGATAGAAAATATTTTGTTGATCTTCTAGAGTATTGTCCTTTTGACGTTCACTATTTCCACGTTCATACTTGAAAGCATTGCGATTGATGAGCGTAGAAATGAGAAGGTATTATAATCTTCTTCATTTTTATTTTCATTTTGTTAATGCAGACCTCGACCCTGCGCGTCTTATACTCTAGTTAAAAAAGTTTTGTTACTAAGTTGGAAGGCGAAGTAGCGCATACTTCAAATGTGGAAGATCGTGAAAATCTCAGATTTGCGCTGGTTCAACATAATTTGCTGGCAACATTCCGTGATGACCTGTACGTTGCACAACTCCAGTCATCCATCCTTCGTCAATTGCTGTACAATTAATGATCAAATCGCCATCGCAAAAGCTCACCTCGTCAACGTCCTGTGCCTCGTAATCGTACATCGCTCGATAAACACGCTAAAATAATTATCACACAATTAATCACAAACTTAACATTTAATAATTCTTCGTGTGGAAATTTTTATTTCCTCAAAAATTAAACAAAAACTATTCTCTTCTACAATATTCTAATATAAAATAGAATAGAATAAAATATAATAATAATAATTTTTTATAATAATTAATTCTATAATAATCTTTTATTTTCAAATATAAACTTCAATTTTTGATTCAATTATTTTTATAAATAGTAAAGTTTTTGCAGGAATTCAATTATTTTTTACAATTTTTTTTGGAAAGAATTCAATTACTTTCTAAGATTTCAATAAATTCCTTGAAACAATGCAATTTTTTATAAACACAGGATTGACACAAAAATTAAGTTTTGTTTTTCCTTGACTTTACCTTGATTTCCAGACAAAATTTTACCTTTTTCCCTGACCTAGAAGAATACTCTGATTCACTATAAAAATGATTAGATACTCAAAAAAACGATTTATTACATTTATTTACGAATTTCTTGAATTGCAAAATTATTCAAAAACACCAATAACGTCGTTTTTAAATAAATATTTAATCATTATTATTTTTTCATAGAAATTAAGATTTTCAAAAATTGCAAATTCAAACCTTTTTGAAATTCAACAACTTTTAAGAATATTGTTATAAAACATGAAGAAATCGATTACTCCGAGTGATAAAATCATTATTTTATATTATAAGACTATTGTTACTGTAACTTTTTCAAAATTATTTTTATCATTTTAATTCAATTATTATTTTCTAGAATTTATAACTAAATTCTTTTTTAAATAAATTATTTTTACTAATTTTTGACAAAATTTTTTGAGAATTTTCAAATCCATTTGTTTGTAATTCAATTTTACGAAATTTCGATAATTCGGATATTCTTCAATTAAATACACTTATAATAAAAAATAAAAACTTCAAATAATTCAAAAAAAAAATTCAATTAAACTTTTTGAAAAAAATTAATTCTACAAAATTGTTTGTTAAAAATATGAAAAATTCAGATTTTCAAAGACTTTAATTTGAAATCTTTTTCAAAATTGACGCTTTAATGCTTCTAATATTCAATTATTATCTAAAATTTTAACTAAAATTCATTTCTAAATCAATTTTTATTAGAAAATTCTACGAGAATTCAATTATTTAAATAAAACAGTTAATAATTTATTGACTAATTGAATCTTTCTTAAAATTGAATTCTCATCAAGAATTTTATCAACAAATTTTTAAATAATTGAATTCTTTCGACCTATTTTAAAAAATTTTTTAAGAATAATTACATTTTTCGAGGAATTCAAATAAAATTGAGTTAAAAATAATTGAAATTCTGTGATGAGTTTTATTATTTATGAAAATAATTGAATTCCTAAAAAGAATTTTATTATTTTTGAAAATAATTAAATTATTGCAAAGAAAATTATAAAAAATTTGTAAATAATTGTATTCCAATGAAATTTTTATTATTTATAAGAATAAATAAATGTTTGCGTAGAATTTTATTAGAATTTTCTTTAAATAATTGAATTCTTTTGGAAAATTTTATAAAAATAATAGATATTGAAAATCATTGAACTGAAGAAAATTTTTGAAAATAATTTAAAATTTGCCAAGAATTTTATAAATCTATTATTTTTAAAAATTAATTAAATATAAATAAAAAGTTCAACTAATTTCAGAAGAATTTGATTTATTAAAATTTTTCAAAAATCTATGTTCTGTTATAAATGAAACTCTCTTAAAATGAAGGTTTTTTTTATTAGAATTCGTGGTAATTTTACTGATTGGTAAAATTACTGATTGGTTAAAATTAAAATATTAAAATAAATAGAAAGATAATATAAATGTTCTTGGAAATTTACATAATTCAAAGTTTTTAATTTAATATAAAATTAATAGAAAAATAATTAAAATTTTGATAGAAATTTCCAAAGTTTAAATTTTTGAATTTAATTTAAAATTAATAGAGATAATTAAAATTTTGATAGAAATTTCCAAAGTTTAAAATTTAAATTTAATTTCCGTTTGATTAAAATTAAAATATTAAAATAAATAGAGAGGTGATTTAAAATTTTGATGACCTAAATTAAAAATCAACTAGAATATTGAATTACTAAATTTGTTATGAACAATAAAAATTATACATTAAATAAAAGTTGAATAACTTACAATTGAATTAAAATTTGAAGATTAAATTAGAATTGAAATGAATTTCAATTTTTATAATTTACAATTTTAATTAAGAAAGTACTTCAAGTAACTTAAATTCAAATTAATTGAAATTTGAACCAAATAAATTTTAATTAGGTTTTGATAAATTGAAACTTGGATCAATTGAATCATTTATAAATAACAAAAAAGGTGAAAATCCACAATTTTGTGATCGATGTGTTAATTTACACTCGGGAACATTAGAAAAATTTTTTCTTTAAACAATTAATTTTTTTCACCAATTCTGTGTTCTTTTTTGTTTTTGACATTGTAAATTCAATTCTTTTTGAAAAATATTGTATCGAAAAATTAAACGAATCATAAAAAAAGAAAAAGTTAAAAAATTATCAAAATAGGCGACAAATTGTGATCCTTAAATAAAATTTAAATTTATAGAAAGTATAGAAACAATAATTGATAATTTGAACGTTCGAAACTTTAGGATCATGATTATACAAACCCCTGAGGTTGGAGGTGGAGGAGGTGGTTGATGTTGAGTTACGTGATTGTTGTTCATGGCAGGCGTCAAAGAACCATAATATTCATTTACTGGATCAATATCAGCAACGGATCCAATTTTTCTAACCGGTGGATTCGTCACTAAAATAGAATAAATAACTTAGTATATAATCGCTAAATAAAAGTGGAGAAAAAAATCATGCATTCAAGAATTGAAAAAAATATAGCATACGTTTCAAAAAAAAAAATCAAATGAACTTACTTTATTTGTAGGGCATTCAGTTTTCAAATAAATAAACTTATATTCAGTTCTTCAAGCGCTCACAAACATTATGAATATTAACAAAAAAAACTCAGTTATCGTAACATTAATGATTAAAATTTCATTAACATTACATAACGAAACATTAATTTTTGAAGAAAAAAATTGAAAACTATCAATTCAGAAAATTCAAAACTCAAAATATTTTCTCCTTGCAAACGAGAGAAATAATGCACACACCAAGCACACAAATAAAATGATATTTCACGTTTTTTCAAAATAAGCGGAAAAGTAAGCGTTAAAAAAATTGTTATATTGCCCCATCGCACTGTCAATATCACCAAAAAAGAATAAAACATTCGATCCATATTTTAATGCGTATTAAAAATGTTACTTTTTTCTTAAATCTTGTTAAAAAAAGAATCAGACATGCAGAAAAAAACTGTATTAAAAAAATTGAAAGAAAGAATTGGAATATTTTCAAGAACAAGCTTCAAATAATTCAGATTCTATACAATAAAAAGATGAGTCCTATTTTAAGGCCAACTTTCAAACTTATCTCAAAATAAGTTTCTTTCTTTTTACTGCGCATATAGAAGAAAAATTGTTAAAACAATAAATTAGAAAAAGTCCAAAGATATAACAAATTATTTCTAAAATTCTAATTTACAATATTTTTAATTTTACTACAAAAAATTAAAATATAAATTTTATTTTAAAAAATTAAAATTAAAATTAGTTCTTTTAATTTTAATATTTTCAATAATTCAATTTATTTCTAAAGCGAAAAATAATTTTAAAATTAGTTAGTTAACCGCAAAATTTTTCTATACATAAAATTTCCCAACAAATTTTCCACTTTGTATAACTAGAAAATTTGTTATATTTTAAACCTCGCGCCATTAAATTTGAAATCTTTCTTAAAATCCAAAAATTTTACGGTTACTTTAAAAACAAAATTCGATTTTTTGTAATTTGCGAGTTAAAAAAAGAGGGAAGAGACGACCAAAGATTATAAATATCGAAAACAAAGAATAAAAATAATCTCAAGTGAAAAACACAAAAAAAGAAAGAAATGTAAAAGAACAAAAAGAAAAAAATTAAAACTAGTGGTAAAAATAAAAATCATATTTATAATAAAGAAAAGTAAATAAAAAATAGAAGAAAACAAGATTAAAGTAGGAAAAAAAATCAATAAAAGAATGAAGTTTCTCGAGTGATTATTATGATCATTGAAAATAAATTTAGAAAGCACTCTCTGAACAAAAAAAAAAAAGAAAAGAAAAGAAAAGCAGACAGATGAATATTGCAGGACAAAGATATAAATATAATGCAGCAATTGATGCAGCGGAGCAAAATCTCACCTGGACCTTTGTCACTTGTATAAATGACAGTTGTAGCAGCTTGTCTAGCCGAATATGGACTTGGTCTAGCTTCACTAAGAGGATCATAATCAGCAATTCTGCCAGGTGCCCTTTGAACAGGCGAATGAGCTGTTGGAGGTGGTACTGGATTTGCGTTTACATTCGGTGTTGGCGTAATTGTACCATCTGGATATTCTACATATTCTAAGCAACAAAGCACAAGAAAGCTATTCTAATAAAAAGCTCTTCGAATTTTCTCATTTACGAATTGTATATAACATAATTCAAAAACAAAAAAATATCAAGCTAATTAACTGCTAAAATATAACATAAAATTAATGATTTTGTAATTTTTTAACTATAGGGTTGCCACAAAAATCTCTAATTTTCATGTAGAATTTTGACTTTCTTCCCCGACCCTAAAGAATATTTTTATTATTCTAAAAATTACTGAATACACAAAAACATTTCTAATAAATTATTTGTGAATCTTTTTACTGTAGACTTCTTCGTAAACATCAATAGGTTTTCTAGATAAACATTAATTCACTATCCACAGGAATTAAGATTTTCAAAAAATTAAAATTTTAATCCTTTCAAAATTCAATAACTTACAAGAATTGCTATACTGTAACTTCACAATTATTTTCATCATTTTAATTCAATTAATATTTTCAAGAATTTTTAATTAAAAATCTTTTCTAGATCAATTAATTTTAATAACATTTGAGAAAGCTCTTTGAATATTCAATTTTTAAAAGAAAAAAGATAAGTTCGCCTAAAATAATTTCAAAATCCACTTGTTTACAATTCAATATTACCAATTTTCGATTATTCGAAATTTTTTTAATTAAATTAAATAGAATATTCAAAATTAAACTAATTTCAAAAAATTTTGAATGAAAATCTTTCAAAGAACTAACTTTTTTAGAATTTTTAATTAAAATTATTTAAAATTCAAAATTTTCAATTTGAATCCTCTTGAAATCCAATTATTTACAAAAATTGTAAACGCAACTCCTAAAAATTCAATGAATAAAATTTAATCAAATTTTAGAAAATTTCAATTATTTAAAAAAATTTCAATTACTTGATTATGAAAATTCAATTATCTTTAAAAAAAATAGTAATTGAAATATTTTATACATCAAATTTTTCAGAATTTTAAATAAAATCTTTCGAAAATTCAATTTTTAAACCAATTTATAATTTAAATACCTATTTTTGAAATTAACTAATTAATAAAATTAATAATTTTAGATGCAATTTGGACTCTTTAATGCGCCTTTTTATACAAATATGAATAAATTTGATTGAGCCTAAAAAATGTAATTATTTATTTAATTCAATGTTTTTTTAATCTAGCTAATGAAATTCGTTGACAAATTTATTTTTCATTCGATTTGCCAAAATTTAAATTGTATATCTTTAAAAAATTGAATAAAAATTTCTTAAAAATCATAATTCATTTTACAATTTTAAATAAAAATTTTTAAAGCGTAACTAATTTAATTTAAATAATTATTTAATTATTATTAATTTTTTTGCAGCAATTGATTTTTAAAAAATTTTGATTTAAAACCTTTTGAAGTTCGATTATTTTTTTGAAAATATTTTTAAAAAAGTTTGCACTAGAAACTAAATTTTTTTTAGTAATTCTAGAGATTTTATATTTTTCCCGTAATTTCAATGAAATTCCCTGAAATTTCCCTGACACGTGTGTGTAAAATTGAATAAAATATTCATAAAAATATTTTTTTTTTTTAGTAACTGCAACGCTTTATTATTTCTTTTTAAAATCATTAAGATGAATTATTGAAAATATATAACGGAAAAAATTCAAAATTTTTTGACAATATTAGAATTATTTAAAATAATTTTTGGAAAATATTAAAAAAAAATAATCAAGTTTTTGAAAAAATTTAAATATAAAAATGAAAATGAACGATTTTTCCAAAAATGTTCATAAGTCTAATAAAACACATTTTTCTAAATTCTAATTTAATTTTTTTTTGGATAATTATAATTTTATTTTTCGTAAATAATTGAATTTTTTAAAAGAATTTTTGATATTGTTTTCAATCAAATTTTACAAAATTTCAGTTGTTTAAAAATTTTTTAATTAGTTCAAAAATTTAATTATCCTAGAAAAATTAATTAAAAATAAATTTTGAAATATTTGACTATTTATTTTTTACACTATAAAAATCAAAGTAATTTGCCGAAAAAGTCTTATTTTTTAAAAATAATTATTGAAAAAAGTCGTATTTGCTGAAAATAGTTGAAAAAAAGTCCAAAAAGTCGAAATATCCGAAACCAGCTTCAATTATTATCAGAAAAAGATAAAAATTTAAAGTTTTATATTAAAATTCATGGTGATTTCAAAGTTTATAAGGCGAGAAAAAAAATTCAAGAATATTTAAATGTTTGGAATATTTTTGAAAAACTAGAATTTTTTTTATCTGTTTTTGGAAATTTAATGCTTCTTCTTCTTTTGATAAATTTCTCTAATTTTTTCCTGACTTCATTGATCAATTTTACGTTCCTAATTTTTTCCCGAATTCCCTAATTTCTCTAATCAGTGGCAACCCTAAATTTATAAACGGAAAAAAAAAATTCACAATTAAAAAAGAAAATACGCAACAGATATAAAAATACATACAATGGTTACAAATTCCTCCTCTACGAGGAAGCAAAAATAAAAATTGACATTTATAGGCAATTACAAAAACAAGGAAAACAATTTTTTTTCAAAGGAAACAATTACAAATGGAAAATAATAATAAATTATAACCAATTCGTTACGAAAACAAATATTTTTAAAAAGTGGTTTTGTTGAAAAACACAAAAAGCGAATCAACGTTTCAAGAAAGGAAATATGAATTTTTATACAGACAAAAAAAATATTTACCGATTTGTTCACCATTTTCACCAGTCATAGTCCTTTTTTGTTCCATAATTGCCTTTTTCTGGAGTTCACCATGATAGGCAACGTTCGATATTATCTTGCTGTTCTGTTTAATTCTCAATGTTTCTGGGTCGTCTGCTACCTGGGTGAACTTGCCCTTTGCTTTCTCAAACTCCGCATGATATTTTACATTACTTTGAATTTTTGTGTTTTCAGCGATACGTTTCAACTCTGGAGTCTCCGCCATTGTCGTCGCTTTTGCTTTTGGTATATGCCTGTGGAAAAGAGGGAGAAATTAGAAATAAAATTCAATAAACATACTGAATATAAAACGAAAATAAATATTTAATAAATTTCGAATAACAAAAATGGAAAAATAACACTTTATTCTAAAAAGAGGATTTCTCTTCCCATCTGCTAAACTCGGTCGAACAAATGGGGGCGAATGTTAATTATTATCTAGGTTCGTAATTTTTTCAAAGACCACAAGAAGAGAACTAATTTTTTCCTTTTCTGTAATTTTACAACTCGAGGAATATCTTTTTAATTTTATACATTTTTTTCATGAACAAAACTTTTTGTACAATAACAATTTTCAGGACTGATTGAAGACTTTCATGGCTTTCTGAGCTTGAAAATCAAGTCATAAGATCATAAAATTTTTGCATAATAATTTTCAGTCGTAAAAAGTGGAAAAAATCTCAGTATTGTCGAGGTATAAATTTATTGATAATTTTGTTATTTGCAATAAAAGTGTATGGGATTAGAGAGAGAGAGTGAGAGTGAGAATATGTTTACAGTGAAAATGAACATTAACGAGACAGTGTAATCGCAATAGATGCGGTCAACGACACACTCTTATCGCAGACATCCTCTGGAAATGGAGATCATCGCTGAAGCATAAACTTCATCGCTATGGGAATACAAATGAGCGAATGAGTGCTTTCTCTCTCTTGATGACAATTACACGTGTAGGTATGACAGCATTGTTCAATGGAATTAGAATGACGCTGCAAACCACCTTAATTACTCCTTCCAGGAAGTCAAGTCAGAGGAAGACTGATTATTAATACCGCTTCATTATTCCTTTATTAAAGACACATTTTTTTCCAAGCAGATAAAATAGTAGACTTATTTCAAAGCAGTGTACTCTATCAAGATATAAATATATATACACACATCCAAGTATATAATGTACAGTAAAGGATCACTTTGCAGACATTGAATTACAGACGATTGTGAACTATAAGATTCTCACGAAAGCCACTTAACTGATTTTTACAAACAATCTTCTTCATATACATAAAATCAAATGTAAGCTACGTGCCAACCTGTAAAAAATCAGATCAAATAGATTAAAATCAAAGAGACAATTAAAAAGTTCGTTCTGTTTTTTGCATTTTTTGAGTGAAAATACGAAAAGAGGATTCTCAACTATTGATATTTACTGAAGCTGAAGTCAACAAATGTTTTTAAAAAACCGAAAAATAATTTTTTTCGATTTAAATTCATATCGAACATTGATGTTTACAAATTTTTAAATGAATTAATTGCTACTTCAAGGACAATTGCACAAAAATAACACGAATTCGAAGCTAAAATAAAATACATCTTCACATTATATTTTTGTTTTCGTTTTAAATCGTTACCGGCTTCAATCTCATGATATTTAATCCAAAATGGATTAAACACTAAAAATAATTTAATTTATTTTTGAATATTTCAAAAATTAAAAAAAAAATATTCCGACAAACTGATTTCGATTTTACATAATTAAAATTGAATTCTCTATTCAAGAAGAGAAATCTGCCAAGAAACATAACAATTTTAAATACCTAGAACTAATTTCTGTTTTTATTTTCGTTTTCAGAGTTTCAACAAAAATTTTATTTTTGCCTGATTGTTTAAAAATTGAATAAATAAAATTACTTTAATTATTTTTTAAAATTGAATTCAATTCTTCAAAAAATCGATTATTTAAAAAAATTGTATTATCATAAAAAATATTAAAATACAATCCTTCCTCTAGAAGAAAGTAATTTTTAAAAATCTCAATGATTTTCAACATAACTTTACAAAATTTCAATTACTTATTTTCAAAAATTAAATCACTTAGAAAAATAGAATTAAAATATTTTAAAACCTTACTTTTTCAGAACTTTAAATAAAATTCAAATTATGTTTAAAAATTTTTCAATTAATTATTGTCAAAAGCTCAATTATCTTCAAAAATATAATTGGAATTTAAAAAAAAAACTACTTTTTCAGAATTCTAAATCGCAAATTCTTCGAAATTTCAACTAATTTAAATATTTTTCAATGAATTATTTACAAAAATGTAATTATCTTACAAAAATTGAATTGAAATTAAAAAAAACTTTATTACTTTCAAAGTAATATTAAATTTTAATTATTAAATAATTAATTAATTATTAATTAACTGTTATTAAAATTTCTTTAATAGTTTTAAAAAATATAAATAAAAATTTAAAATAATTAATTTTTTTTTAATTTGAAAAACAATTCTTCGAAATTTTTAAAAATTTGTTAATTTATTATTTTCGAAAATTTGTTAAATTTATTAGGTTATAATTATAAAAATGTTTAAAAACGACAAGTTTTTGTCCTCATCTTTATACTTTGTAAAGGGTTGATCGCCCGTTTATACATCTAAATAAATAAATAAATAAATTTAATTGCCTTAAAAAAAATTAATTAAACTTCTTAAAAATTCTAACTTTTTCAAAAAAGTTTAAATAAAATTCTTGGAAATTTCTGTAATTTATTTATTTTTAGTTAATTATTTTGAAAAATTTAATTATCATAAGAAAATAGAAGTAAAACTTTCAAAATACTTCACTTTTTCAGAATTTGAAATGAAATTTTATTCAAATTTCAATTATTTAAAAACTTTTTAATAATTTATTTTCTAAAACTTTATTATCTTCAAAAATGTAAATGAAATTTAGAAAAAACTACTTTTTAGAATTCTAAATTGCAAATTCGTCGAAATTTCAAGTAACTTAAATATTTTTCAATGAATTATTTACAACAAATTCATTTGTCTTAAAAAGCATATAACTGAAATTAAAAACACTCCATCATTTTCAATAGAAATTCACAACATAACAATCATTAAAAAAATAATTATTTTCAAAAATTTTAATTATATTTAAAAAATACAATTAAAATTTCGAAAAAATAGTTTTCTCAGATTTTTAAATGAAATTCATCAAAGTTTTAGTTATATTTAGAAATTATTCAATTAATTACTTTCAAAAATTGGAATATAAGTTTTTATGATCCACAAGTTTTGAACGTTCAAATGAACAAAACACTTTTTATTAGAAATGTTTTTATAATTTATTGTTTGCAATAAAAATTAAAAACTTAAATTTTACACTTAGAAACTTTATAATTCATTTATTTTATATCGACAAAAAATTATTGTAATAAATATTTAAATTAAAAAATAAAATAAATAAATTTCGTTCATTTGAACGTTCAGAACTTTAGGATCATAAGTTTTTTAAAAAAACCTAATTTTTTAGAATATTAAATAAAATTCTTTGAAATTTATTCAGATGTAATTTAAATATTTTTTATGTTTTTAACACAAAAAAATGTATTAATACATTCAACTGTGTCTTTTTGTATAATTTTATAATTGAAAATAAATTCAAATAAATTTTATCTAAACTTCAATTAGTGACAGTAATTAGAAAGAAAATCAAGTTTTCCTTTTAAAAATCAAAGTAATTTTAAAAGTTACTAAAATGAGAAAAGAATACGTCGGTGAAGTTATCAACGTTTATAATCTACGATTGAAATAATCAAAAATTTTTGAATAATTTTTTTCAGACATCTAAGTTTTCAAAATATACCTATAATTGATAAGTTTTTAAATTATTTAAATTCTGTAAAATTCTTTTGAAAATAATTGACTTTTTTCCAAAAGTATATTTCATTAAAATTTTTGAAAATTAAAATAAAAAAAATTTTATATTAAATTTAAATTGAATTTTTATTTATTTAAAATAAAAATGAATTTTTGAAGAATTTTAGTTAATTAAAACCTAAATTAATATTAGTTTTTAATTTGACTGTATTCTCAAAAATTTTAATGGAAAATGAAGAATGAAAATTAATGAAAATTATTAGTAGCGTTAAAAACTTGTGGATCATTTTAATTAAGTGTATAATAATTTGATAAATTCCCTTTCTAATTTTTTGAAAAAGGAAATTTTTATCAATAATTGTTAATTTCTTTTTTCGTTGCTTTATGTATATAATTTCGCTTACATATTCATTGACTTAGTATTTCTGCATCGAGTATAATCGGTACTCGATGTTGGGATTGCATAACTTGCAGTTATAATGCCTGGGCGAGACCGTAAAGTTTCCATATATGGAAAACGAACTCGTGACACAAATCTCGATTACTGAACAATGAATTTGTTTCACTTTAACCTGCATCTTCTAAATATTTCTACTGACAATCGTATGTCATTAGTTGCTTAGAGCCCGAACGGTATTTATTAATTATTAATTATTACAAGTCAGGGAAATTGGAAAAATTAGAAAAAAAACGGAGAAAGTGAAAAAGTTCAAGAAAAAGAGGAAAATATAAGGAAATATTATCGAAAGTAGGAAAGAAATATCAATTTTTTATACGATTATTTACAAAAATTTAATTATCTTAAAAAATAGAATTGAAGTAAAAAAAACTTTATTATTTTAAAAAGTTTATAATTTTTTTTTATATTATTAAATAAAATTGTCAAACAATTTTGAAAAATTGATAGAAAATCGATTTCTCGCCAATTAATTGAAGAGTGTTCGCACAACTAATATTTAGAATGAAACAATTACATAAGACAATCACATTGTATAAACAATTACAATGATAATTAAGTGTGAATTAATTCAGTCTTGAGTAATCAAGTGTCAAACATACAATTATACTCAATTGAGAGTGAGAGATTAGAATTTTTCCCAGGCTTTGATTCGATTTGCAATCGCGACCTTGAAATATACGCAATCTTAGAATCGGAACGAATCGAGAAAATCAGTCCTCATGAAATATGTCCCATAAAATTCGCATCTATCAGCAATTGTTAATATTTTCAAACTTAAATACATCGTTGTCGTTTTTATTCTACAGAATTTTGTAAAAAAAAAAGAATTATTCACTTTAGTATTTTACTAAAATTTTGAATTTTCAAGTGAACAAAACATTTTTTTCTGTTCTATGACGTTCACGACGTTTATAAAC